ATTCTCTTCACAGCTAGCAACACCCAAGACCTTAATATCATCTGCAAATTTAAGTAATGTATTGACTGTTCATTCATCTTTCTTCATACAATTGGATGTGATGGATGCTTTTTTTTATCTAAAATTCTTCAACAATCCAGAAGTATAGTATGTACATAATATGTTTCTATGTATATGTCATTTTATAGTATTATTATTATTTTTTACTTAATTAATTACAAATAACTGGATATCTGTTTGTTGTTACAAAAAGTAAGGTGGCAGCTAGAGCTGGGTTATTAACTCTAATATAATTGATTAGCTATGAGCTTCAATTAGTGTCACAAAAAATAATCAATTAATCAAATTACAATTAAATTGATTAATATCATAATTATGGTGGAGCAAGTGATGTTATGGTTAGTGTCTTCATTACTTCAATAAAATGTACTGAATGGCTAGTGTACATGAAATGAGAGAGGTGTTATTGTAGAATAAGTATGAAATATAAAATATGTGCTAGTACTAATAATCTTAATGTTGAAAAAGAAGAACCAGAGTAAATATACACTTCCTTTCTTCTCCCCTACTCTGCAAGGCATATGTTTAATTAATCAACAGTGTTGTTACAAACAAATGTGACTGATAATAACACACACTCTCTCTCTATTGTAACTTTTGCTGTAGTTGAAGGTCTGTATTTATTTTCTAACTGAACTGTTAATGTTACTCTGTTCTGCTGTTTATTTATTTAATCAGCAATTATATGTAGACAGTGAATGTTAACCTTCCTGAAATGGTGACTGTTAAATAATTTGTTTTGCCCAAGTCAGCTGCAGTTTCAATTAACTGCAGTATAGTCCTCTTGCAATACAAGCTTAGTGTATGTTGCTATATGGATGTCACACGTAGGATCAAATGTGTGTACGTAAACAACATAAATTTTTTTTTAATATTGAAAATACAAAGAAATGTTCACACACAAATACTATTTCCCTTGCACATCTGCCTATGAGATTTGTATGCCACTAGCCTTGAGCTAACTCCCACCTAAGTTCGTGTGTTTATTAACATGAACTGCACGGGTGCATGAGGATGTCATCATATAACAATAGCCCTCCATCAATAGGAGGGTGACACAACTTCCATGCACATTATCTTCCCCTATGCACTTGCATTTGTGATAACTTCATTCTTTTCCCGGCATTGCATCGAACAAACATCTTCAGAATTTCTCATCTGAGTTCAGTTTGATGAGATTTGTGTTTGTAAACAAAATTTTGGTTTTCATTTTCTTTGGCTTTTGTTTCAAAAGCTTTAATTATTTTTATGAATTCTCAAGTGATGGTGGCTTCTTCTTGTCCTGTGTGACTGACGAAGTCACCCATTCGTCATTCTTCAATCAACCCACTGTCTTTGAGATGGTTAAGTATGTTTTCTCATTCCTTTTCTCTCCTTCTGTCACTCAGGATCCCACCAGATGACTGGTATACTTATTTCCCAAACTCTGCATCTGGCAAGGGATAATAGAAAGTGCTTAAACTATCCACCCTGGCTCTACCAGTGCTCACCATCAAGATGGGGTGTTCTGCAAGACCATTAGAGGTATCCTTGTGATGTACGAAGTTACTCAGTTGCCTACTTTTGAAAATATGGTTTCAATGTCACCTATTGAACTGTATTCAGTAATATTCAGTTGGTCATGATAACATTCTGTCCATCCCTGCAATATCTCAGGTGAAGAGTATGCACTGGTCGAAATGAGATACACTCTCCCATGGGTGTGCCACTATGGAACTCATGCCACAGGGTGTCACACTTCATGGGCTTTCCCTTTGGGCATTTTTTGAAGGGAGCTCATCGTTGCAAATTTTTTTACCATCCCCCTCCACCATTTTAGCATGGAATCCTAGGATTCCTATGTGTAGATAGAAATATCGTCTCAGAAGTTAACATTTTCCTGATCTTAAAATTTATTTCTTATAGATACTCACCCTCGCATATGTGTCCAACTGTCCTTCCAATTTCCTGTGTACCTTCTTTTTTTTCTGCCTCATCTAAAAATGCAAGTTTATAGGGAAAGTTCCTGTGCATGGAGGTTGTGTCACCCTCCTATTAGCATAGGGCTTTTGTCTCAGGAAATGTCTTGTGAAATATAAAAATTATATCAACGAGCTATTTATCATATAAAAAGTTGTCATTCTGAATGTTGATTTAATTAACTTATTTCTATTTATATCATTCCAAAATGAAATTGCACATCCAGAAATGGTTCTTTCTTTAGTGCAATATTCTGTGTAAATAAGGTGAAAAATATCTTTGGCTGCCTTAAAGCAACCTTAATGCATACATTAAAAAATGCATCCTTTTCAGTCATGAAGGCATTATAATGTGACAGTCAATGCCACTATTTGTTGATAAACAATAGCCCAAAAATTGGCAGTGGGTAGTATTCCTTAGTTGTCTTTCTTCTACAGTACTCTATCACTTCAAAATTAAGGACAGCTAGTACATATATTTCTTAAGTAACTTTGCATGAAATTTAACCAAACAAACAAGATGGGACAGAAGAGACTGAGGTATACAATACATCTTATTATCTAAAATGTTTTGTTAGCTTTCCGATATATGTAAAATTAATATAATTAGCTACATTCATTCCAAACTTTTCCAAGAATAACATATGTAATTGTTTTAAGCTCACCCTTACAAGAGAATGGTAAAAGATTCACTAGTAATGGACTGCATGCAAGGAAACTGCTTGGACCATCTGTCCTGAACATATAACAACTGGGAGGGAATGAATGAATTTCAGAAGTTGGTTGTCCCTGCACTTTTAAAAAGCATTGTAAAGAGGAAGAGCTAAAAGATGTAAACAACCTGTCAATCATTCTTAATGGAAGTTTCAACATTTACAAGTTTTTAAAAAGTGGTCTGGTAAAACCACACATGAAAGGTTCAATATAGTGATTTAAAAAATACTTCCCCGATAATTAAGAGACCCGGGAATTTCTTTATCATTTGAAATTACATTGTTTTTCTTGTTGCTGATAGTGGAGTTTTATTATATTAATTTGTTTTAAAAGCTACAGAAATATTTCTGTACTCCAAGGAGTAATGTAACAACACTTCGCACCTGTTACTATGGTGGTCTACAGTATGTTGTGCAGTGACATCTGACAGCAAATTCATTACTAATCATTCAAGATTTTTATGTTTTATTGGGCAAAAATATGTAACAAAATAAAATCCTGAAGATAAATATATTATTGAATATAAAGCATGTTAAAATTGGTTGGATATATATATAATTTTTTGGTTAATAATAAAAAAAAATAATCAGGTTTTGTATATTTTGTTTTTCATGTTAATAATTCAATTAGTATACAGTCTGTCCAATTCATACAACTTTTACGGTTTGTGAAAATAGCTTCCTACTCTATCAATGAGACAAGCAAAATTATGAAGGAGGCAAGTATTTTCTGAATTTCTCTTCCCCCAAGGGACAAATCGATTCAAAAATAATTTGTTTCACCTTGTGTAACAGTATTAGAATATCAAAGTGTATTGTGTATTATTCAGTTTGCAGCACAAATCTCATTAGAAGTATACTTTGATGATGTGCAAGGCAGAGTTGTGGTTGGTATAGTTACTGGACAACATTTATTTTTTGTTAACCATTTGTTGTGATGGGTATGGTGCAGAAATATACAGCTGTCCTTGTATAGTATGTGTGCCAAAATTATTTAATTTTTGACATAAAAACTTCAGCATTATTAGCCTACTTATTTGAGTTGTACTTGTCAAGCGACTTGTATTCGCAGTATATGAATATTGAAACTTGTATATTACTATAAATAATTTCAATGACACATAACAGTTGCAACATTCAACAACAATAAACAGAATTCATGTACATTGATTTCTGTAATTTTAAATGTCCCTTATGTCTTGGTCAGTTACTTGTTTTTAAATAAAAGTGTATCACGGCCCATTCTGAAATTTTTTCAACACTTTCAAAGTTTTTTTATTATTCACTTTTTTACAGGGAGAAGTAGAAAGGACTTTAAAATGGGCTAGAAACTCCTAAAACATCATCTTGAGGATCCTTGAAAACCTCACTATATAATTTTCTTTCTTGTTCTTTGGCTTCTTTAGTAAATGTTATTCCATTTAGATACCTTTTTTTTTAATCATAAAAAATGAAAGAAATGACCAATACAGATCTTTACATGCTGAACAGTTTTGGAATATATTCATTGTCAAATTAATAAGCTGATTATTCTGCTTTCTTACATTTCTTTCACAAGAACTCTAAGCCCGACTTCCTTCTTTTTCAGGTGTTTTGTTGTTATCAGATACTCTCAGGTTCAGGTTAAATTGTCTTACGTCTTTACCCTCCTCACTCATCCTCTAATTATTGCCGCTGTTCTTGTGTTTGTTTTGAACCCTATTATCTGGATTCATCATCTGACAATTCAAAAAGGGGCATATTTTGTAACCTTAGTTTGTATGTTTTGTCTGTTATTAGTTTGAACCTAAGTTGCTTTTCTTTCTCCATTCTATGATATGATTTATATATCAAAAAAAAATAGTTTTAGTCGTTATTGGAATTATTTAATAGTACAAGAACATCCTAGTGTATAGGAACACTGCTGTAGTTTAAACATCTGCACATTCTTGTTTAAAACCTTATTTTTAAAGGCATTAAGTGATGAGAATTTCATAATCCAATAATCTTACTACCTGTGTTTTAAACAGTTATAAAATTCATCATATAGTACATATACCTACAGTAGTGTAATCAGTTTATTTATATTATTTGCAGCTACATAGATCAAGGAAGAAATCCCCAGTTTTATACTAAGGACTGTATGGAAAAGGCTTTAGCAAAAAATGAACAAGTGAAAGGGAAAATTGATGTATATAGGGTAAGTTACTTATACATATTACATTCTCATGTTGTATATATGTATGAAACATAAAACAAGTAAAGTGTAACTGTACTTGTTATTATCATTATTATTGATCCCTTAACTATGTGAGTAAAGCTGTTTAACACAGTAGATTTGTAAACCAAATATTAAATTTTATGTAAATAATAATTATGATTTTTCATAGTAGAAAAATAGTGAATGTGTGTTTAATGTTGAGAGTTTCTTAAATGTATCATTTAACTGTTTGATTTGTGCAATAGTAAAATTTATAATGTCTTCCAACAGTTTCATTTCACACATCAGTCTTTTGGATACCAAAGCAGGATTGTTTCTTTCTAGTGATAGTTCAGTGATTCTAATCTATATTTGGCTCATATATTAAAGTATAGCAGTACTTCAGTTGGTGTTGTTTATAACCGATAAATGTGCTATGCAAAAATAAGTGTAGATTATTCTATCATAATCTTTTTTTTGTTCATTTTCTGCATATCAGCAAAGGAATCAATGTAATCTGTTGCTTAGTTTTGCTGATTATTTTTTAGTTTGTTTTTAAAAAGTTTGATCTTACTCTCATGAGATGATGCTAACCCACTAGGAATGTTCATGTAACCATTGGTTTTTGCAAAATTAGTTGTTACATAGTTAGGTTCTTCGGTAACAGAAATTACCAAACTTAGCATGTGGCTTATTCTTAATATTATTTATGTTAGTTTTCTCATTAATGCTTATTAATACATGTAGTAAATAAAATTAAATCACTTACAAGGTCTGGCTTATTATTTATTTGACGTTAATATGTTTTGATATTTAAATCAAAGTGAATTATAGAAGTTCTTAGGGATGGATGTAATTTCTAGCCTAAATTTTATGGCTATTGCAGAAATAGTTAAAAGTTTGTGAAGCTGTACACAGACATTTGAATTTAAATGCTGGGCCACAAGTCATGGAGTAACACTTCGGAAGAGTTACACCTGTTATTATTGTATTATCTTCTGTGAAATTAAATATTGTGTACACTATCTGTGCTTTACATCTTTATGTTCTATGTGAGGATTGTTATTCTTCTTTGCCACACATATCTTAACTTTATACTACCCAGAGTTTTTCTTTGTGTGGCATACTTTTAAAATTAGGATTGTGGGACACTTTTCTGTGTAACTACATACCTTAGCCAAAAAACAAAGAAAGTATCAATTTAATATATTTTTCGTTCTCACTTGCTAATCCATCCAGCTGTTTTGAAATTTATATTTTACTCTAACAATAGGTAATTGCTAAAAGGTGTAAATGATTTACTTTTTCTTTAAGTTTTACTCTTAGTCATGTGTCAGTAATAATAAACAAACAGCACTGTTTAGCTCATTCATTTCTTGTTTAAGTCTCAGTAAAGTTTTATTTATGGTGAAATAGTATCATTATTCTAAATAAAACTGATAACATTTATAAAGTTAAAGACATCTTAAGTAATAGAACAAAATTCCACCCTCTCAACCCCCCAGTGGCTTGTCAGTAAGTCAGAAAAGTTATAACACTAAAAACTGTGTTTCAAGAATGGAAGGCACGGCACAGATAGCTAGACCATTGTGTAGCTTTGCGCTTAATATCAAAGAAAAACAAAGCTGGTATTATATATGAAGTTTCTAAGGTTCATAAAGGTAGCTTGGAGTTTTCTCCAGATACAAAAAGTTTGAATTTTAATAATGGGGTATATTATGCAAGATTTGATATAGGTTCTCTTTATACTAACATCCCATTATACGAGACCATGAATTTATGTACTAAACAAAATGAAAATGATGAAATGAGGTTTTCAGAAAATTGTGAACTTTGACACAAAAAATCTTTATTAAACAGGCTATATTGATCATAAACTTGTTATGCAAGTTATGTGTTCCATCGTGCTTACCCTCATATTTAATTGAGATGTTTTTTCAAGCCTGTATGCAAATTACAATATTTCATCAGGTATAAGGATCAAATATTTATCTTTAAAACTTCTAAGGTGGTATCTATATACTATTAAAACTCTGAGATTGTTTGTTTGTTTGCTTGCCTGTAATTAAATACAGCAAAAATGGCACACAATAGCATCATATTTGTAATGAAAT